CTCATATTCTCTGTTTTTTCTGCATTACAGGCACTATAAATCTTTGCAATGCTGCAAGTGTAGCATCTCTACTTAAACATCATTTAATAAAATGATGTGATTTTGATGTCCATACTGTCCCTTTAAAAGGTCTGTATTTTAAGATTAGTATTTGCTTTAATACATATATCTAATTGTTTTATATACATTATGAAGAAATCAATAGCTTAAGTAAGTCTTTCATAAATCCCCTTTTAACAGAATTTCCTAATAAAAAACACATTCTGAGAGGCTGTACATTAACCTATGAAGCCCTGGAGCTTGTGTCACTTTTTAAATGGTTGGTTATGGTATGATGTAATTAAATTTACTATAAACCATGGTTTCTTGTCTTTAAAATGTTAATGAGGAACATCTTAAAATGTGATATTGGTGCATTTTTTTTCTTGAGCAATTGGAGTGTGAATTTTTGTAATGGAAAGTGTAATCTAAGGAGGTACCCTGGCATAAAACCAGAGTTCATCTAAAAAACAAGCCAAAATGCCTGACATTTTTATTTCTACTAACCGGAAAACATGCTGTTCTCTATAATTATAGAGTATATTAGAATTATAGTTTGTGAATATGTAGTATAATGCATTCCATCTGCTAAACATAAAATTTAGCTTTTTATAAAGAACTATCTTCCAGTTCTAATGCATCTAATAAAATGAAAGCTAAAATAATATTTTTGGCTCCACAAAGGTACCATGCCCTAAGATGTTTGCCATGGACATGGACATGTACTGTTGGCAAAACAAATTGCAGTTAAAAAATGTGGGGGTTATTCAGTAAGGAAATTGATTTATATTGGTAATTCATCTTTTTTACACTCTTTTTATTTTAAGAAGTGATTGAAAATGTGGACATTATTACATTGACCCTCGTTTTCATTTGTTTGTAACTGAAATACACACTAGACTGAACTTTAAACAGCCATTAAAACTATTGTGCTATTGCTTTATTTCTTAAAACAACCTACAAGGCGATTTAAAAGAGAAGAAAATACATTCTAAGTTAAACACTAAGTGATAATCTAATTTACTTTGTTACCTTTAAATGTTAGGCTGTGTTCAAGAAAATATTGTTAGTTAAAGTTTCTACTAGATAAAAGGCAAATAGCAATCATTAAAAAAAAAAAAAAGAAAAAAACTCCACAAACAAGTAGTTCACACCATTTTGTTTTTAATCACCTTGTAATTTGCAAGTATCAGACTTTGGACATTTTTCAACAGGACTTGTTATTTTATAGGATTTTTTAAAATGTTTTTACTTAATCCCTCTATTTAGGACATATATTTTCACAAGGTTTGAAAAATAAAATTAACTGTACAAATCTACAAATCTGTCCAGGATCTGGGGGCAGGGCCGGGCCGGGCCTCCGAGCTGACCGGACGCTGCCACATGTGGCTCTGTCTCGGATCCCCCAAAAAGTGTATTGGCAGCTGCCTGACCCACTGGTGAGAAGTAAAAGTTGGGGGGGAATACCCAAGGAGCAGCCAGGAGCAGAGACAAGGTTTCTTTTCTGCCTATGCATGCATACGTGTGCCTGCAGCCTACCTGCATGAGTGAGTCCTCACCACGAGGAGCTAACGGAGGACAGCTCGCTGAGGCTGGCAATTAGAGATGGGGGGCTGCCCGGCCCTGCTTCCATCCCAATGCTCAAGATATGCATGGACTTGGCGGACCATTGGACGATTGAGATGGGCCTGCTGAGATAGTGGCCATATTGCACAGGACTGCAGCCACCAGCCTCCCTTTACAGCAAACACCACCTCAACTTTGTGGAATGGAGGTGCAGCCATGACATGGCAGGGGGTCTGTCACACAAAAGATCCGGGATCCCAAAAAAATTTCAAGTAGGCGGAGTGCCCCCAGACCAGAGAGGAAGTTGAGCATGTAAACCTGGCCTCTGGCTGATGAGGGGGATCGGGATGATGTTGCTACTGTAGCTGTGCGCTCAGCTGGAGGGGGTGTCAGGGGGCCTCTGGCAGACCGGTGGCTATGGGGTCCAGTGCGCCCCAACTCAGAGAGGTGGCCAGCGATGGGCGAGGCATCATGAGGCCACACACATTCCTGGCTGGGATACCAGCATTATAGTGGAGGTGCAGGGCATTGCTGACCCATGGACTCTATGTGGGGGGAGCCCTGTGGCTTGGTGGGCCCCCGGGTGCCCGTGGTTCTGTGGACACGCAGTTGGAACAGTCTTGCTTATGCCGATCTGAGACACCTATGCCCTTGGAGGCCTCCAAAGAAACCCAGTGGCAGCCCGTGACAGAGTGGAATGGGCCTCTAGTATCATGGGGAGGAAGAGACAAAGGGGACATATTTTTCTTTTTCATTTTTTATTTTTATTTTAGGAGATCACCTACTAACTAGGCATGTACCTACTGAGCCCTGAGAACACTTTGAGGGGCCATCACGCAGGCTTTTATTCCCATGTCCCCAATCAAGGGAAACCGCTAACTATATACGTTACTATTGTTTACATTACTGCTGTTGTATGACATAATTACCTGGTTGAAATATTGCATCTTATTAGTTTATTGTTCTGGCCGTATAACTTACATAATTTATGACCACGCTCTGACACCCTTATGATTTATTTTCCTATTTTATGTTATTGGTCTACACGGAAGGCACTAACTGCGATTATTTGGGATGACCACGCTGTAGTCAGGTGTCAGGATTATAGTTGATCCAGCACGCAGAATTGTATCACACCTAAAGACTAAGGATAATGTCTAACCGGACCTTGGAATGGCCAGACTTAACGTACCCGAGAATAGTCAAAATACTCGCCGAGATCAGGGGGACAGAATGAACGCAACGATGAGGAAAGCCAGAAGTCAAGGATACCAGAAATCAGAGTAGTGAAAGCAAAGCCAAAGTCAAATACCAGAAAAAACCATAACCCTTCCAATCGACCAAATACTGCAGAGACCCTCGATTAAACCTGGAGTCAGTTATAGAGGAGAGGCAGCTGCCCAGCGCGACCAAGGTAAGTTTGAAAACTTTCCATTGGTGTGGCTGTCTAGATGTGCAGCCACGCCGACAAATGAAAAGAGAGCTGTGACATCATGCCTTCTATTGATAATTACCATTGTTTGAGTACACTTATGTGCATGTTTGCTTCATTTCATTACATTCATTATCACAATCTTAATGACCATAAATATTGGGTAATTAAAGTGCATGCCTTACAGGCTAAACTACATATTATATATGGCCTACCTGGGCACAACGCCTCATTTAGGCCTTACATCAGCAATATATCTATTACTCATGTTATCACAACTTATTACTACTTATATGATTTGACTTTATGTTACTAAAGTTTATTACTCTGAATCATACGGTTTTGTTACCTCTGCATAGGAAACTCAGCTATACTCAGGCACTGTTATGCCAAGCTGAAATGTCACAACTTATTACTACTGGGACGCTTTGACTTGCAAAATTACCTTTCCTCTATGCAGGAAATTTGACCTTAACCATTATTATTATTATTATGATATTTATATAGCGCCATCAAAATCCGCAGCGCATTACAATGGGTGGACGAAAAGACATGTAGTTGTAACCAGACAAGTTGGACACACAGGAACAGAGGGGTTGAGGGACTTGCTCAATGAGCTTACATGCTAGAGGGAGTGGAGTAAAATGACACAAAAAGGTAAGGATAGTATTAGACTAGTGACAGTTGCAGAAGAGGAATCAGTCAGGAGCTAGTAACAGTTTAATTGGTATGCTTTTATGAAGGAGTGGGTTTTAACGTTTTTTGAAGGAGTGGAGACTGGGTGAGCATCTAACAGAGGAGAGAAGCAAGTTCCACAGAAACGGTGCAGCCCTCAAGAAATCTTGAAGGCGAGCATCAGAGGTGGGAGTACGGACAGAAGATAGGCGTAAGTCTTCAGCAGATCGTAAGGGCCTAGACGGGACATACTTGTGTATAAGGGAGGCTAGATAGGTGGGAGCAGCATGATGTAGAGATTTGAAAGCAAGAACCAGAATCTTAAATTTAGCTCTATATTTTTTAGGAAGCCAATGTAGGGACTGACAGAAGGGTGAGGCATGGTAGGTGCGGGCGGACAGGAAGATGAGCCTCGCTGCCGCATTCATTATGGAATATAACGGCGCAGGTTGGGAGCACGTAAGACCACTGAGAAGCGGATTACAGTAGTCAAGGCGAGAATGGACATTGGAATAGACCAACACCTTAGTCGTATCTGGCTTTAAGTAGGGGCGGAGGCGCGCAATGTTTTTGAGATGGAAATGACAGGGTTTGGCGATAGATTGAATATGAGGCTTTAAGGAGAGGTCAGAGTCAAAAAGAACACCTAGGCAGCGAGCCTGAGTGGTGGAGCTGATGGTAGCACCGTTGACTTGGAGGGAGACAGACACAGGAGTAGCAACACTTGAGGGAGGAAAGACCAGAATTTCAGTTTTGGTCAAGTTTAGTTTAAGGAAGTGGGCAGGAGCCTGACCAGCAAGCAAGCAAGACATGCTTTGCACGAGCTCCTGCTGCACGGACACTAAAAGCGTAATAATTCGGACCGCAGTGCTGGGATACCTTCCTAAAAAAGCCCTACAGACTGGGGAAGCCGGCGCACATCTGCGAATACCAAATTTGACACCCGGAACACCCGGGAACTGTGACAGTGGGCTGAGGCCTACAGGAGATGGTAGGGTGGGAGGACGGCCGCTTCCTGCCTGCTGCTCCAAATCGCAAGCAAGTACTAACCTTTCCCCCCATGGACCGGTGGGGGATATCCCGGTCCCCGCCGAAAGGAGATAGCTCCACCGTATGTCAAGGGGTCGACAGTGATCACATACAGAACAGAGGAGAAGGTCTCCAAGATACACGCGGCATGCGAACGCTGCAGCCTGAAGTGACCAGCCCCGATCTCAATATAAGAGACTCACTCAATTATGAGTGAGTCTCTTATATTGAATGAGCAAACACCACTTACAGATCAAGCATGGAGGCCTGGGAAACCTCTGAAAGGCATAACACTGTACCTCACACTTGCACCTCGCACGAGACGCCTGTCTGGGCTGAGGGCACTACGGGTCCAGACCTACAGGTACAGGCCACAGAAGCGGTGGCCGCAAAGAAAACGCGACGACACACACCTGACCCACAGAAGGCCCGCTGCACCACGCCAACAGGGAAGACCCTGGACCCTACAGGACTCCAGGCTCGTGGTCAGACAGTACCAGCCCTCACACAGCTGCAGGGCCGAAGGGGCACCCCACCTTCCAGACGCTGCATAGACTCCCCAAGCAACACCATGTGGGACTATACATTCCCTATGTAGGGAGTAGGATGACTTACGAGCAATCAGCAGGGTGCCAGTCACTAAACCCTGCCCCACCTAATCACAAGGGACACATGGATCCCCTGTGGTATACACATGCTATACCAGATTCATTGTTTTACGTTAGTTAATTGTGTTACCTTATTAATCTTTAACTTACTGAGGCAGCTGTTATATATTATATGTGATGTGTTCATATTGATGAGGAGCTTTAGTAGGTTTATCCTCTTGACACCCGATAGGCAATATAACCTGCTTACTCACTAGCACATCGTTCACTAGCCACAATAGAGGCGACACCAGCCTGACACTCACTACTTATACTGACACCTGTTTGGCAGTTCACTCAGCCGTGAATCCTCCCCTGCAACCATGAATATATGCAGCTTGCATGTATATAGCCACCAATCTAGAGCCCAGTACCTGCTATCAATGACCATTCACCTAACTAGTACAACCACTGTGCTAACTCAAGCCTGTTTAACACTTATAGAACAAATGTTGGTTAAGCTATATATCAAATCATAAGACAGCACAAACTTATAACTACCTTCTCACATACAGGTGAGAAGGGCAGCCTGTGACAAGCCTGTATGCATCAATGAATATTATGAATGTAAAGTATGCTTCTAACATGATAACCTTCAACTCAGACATAAAAATGTGCATTGTTAATGTATGCCTCTCTGTTACAAATGTTTTAAAATAAGCAAGTGGAATGCCGTCAGGGTACCACAAGCATGTGTGTTATATCTATATGCACAGTAAAAATTTAAAATTTAAAAAGAAATAGCAGAGAGGCAGTCAGATACACTAATCAAGAGGGACGGGGAGAGATCAGGAGAGGACAGGTAGATTTGTGTGTCATCTGCATAGAAATGATATTGGAAGCCAAAGGAGCTAATGAGTTTACCAAGGGAGGCAGTATAGATGGAGAACAGTAGGAGACCAAGCACTGAACCTTGGGGGACATCAACAGAGAGGAGTTGGGGAGAAGAAGCAGAACCAGAGAAAGAAACACTAAAAGAGCACTGGGAGAGGTAGGAGGAACACCAGGAGAAAGCAATATCTTGTAGACCATTATTGCGGAGGATGAGAAGAAGCTGTTGATGATCAACAGTGTCAAAAGCTGCATACAGGTCAAGGAGAATTAGGATAGAGTAGTGACTATGAGATTTTGCAGCGAGTAGATCATTTGATACTTTGGTCAGTGCCGTTTCCACAGAGTGCTTAGCGCGGAAAACCAGACTGAAGCAGGTCTAGCAGAGAGTTGGACTCGAGGAAGTGGAGGATACTTGCTGCATCAATAAAGATCTTTTTTCACACAAATCTGTCCAGGATCTGGGCATCTACATCTCGACTCCAGTCATTGCTATTGCTATTTTGTCTCCGAATTTTCCTATGTTTGACAAGAGTTACCTTTTGTCAAACTTGTCATTTCCCTCAGCCATGGATCCTGTGCATGTGTGTGAGAGTAAAACACTGACAATGGCTCCTGGTAGCTAAAGCACCAGGAGTTGAAGAGAATGTGGTGGATCAGTGGTTGAACCAAGGTCGCAGGGGTTGCAGCTGCGACTGGGCTCATCACTCAAGGGCACCCAGCCATCCTTCTGACCCCTGCGACCGTGAGCCACCGAAACTGGAGATGCGAGAGGGGCTCTCTCACAGAGGGCCCAGGAGGTGGCGCTATTATTAATTGTTACACTCATCATGGTGGCCATATTGGCACTTGTGATGATGTACAATGTCAGTTCCAGTTCCATCGGAAGTGGCCCTGCAGCAATTTAACTGTGGCAATTGTGATTTTACTCTTCCTCTGGTCACTCTCCTAATTGTACCGGATTTGTCCATATTCTTTACTGGGCCATCATTTAGGTCCACCTACTAGGCTTGCCAATATTGTTTCTGGTACCACCATAAGTAGTCTGGCAACCATTGCTGATAGTCCCAAATCAATATGTAATATTGGCAAATTCCAGATTTGATAAAAAATGAAATACAAAGAGAAAGGGGTGGGTATTAAAACTTCAATGGAACTAAACACATACATATCATACTTAAAAAATACAATAAATACATGATAATATTTTACATACTGGTAAATAAAGCATTTACTATTTTTTTTGTTATAGTATGTAAGATATTATCATATATTTATTGTATTTTTAATAATTATATATATATATATGTGTGTGTTTAATTTTTTATGCAATCTGGACTTTGCCAATATTACACATTAATCTGGAACTATCAAAATGGCCACTGGAACCAGAAACATTTTGACAAGCCAAGTAGGTGGACCAATATGATGACTGTGCGAGGAATATGGCTGCAAAGACACAAGTAGCAGAATAGGTATAGAGATCAGAAGAGGACTAAAAGTACAACTGCGGCAGTAAGATGGAGCACTTACGGTGGAACTGGAAATTACGTTTGGAAACTATGCAGACCCTTGCAAGGACCAATATGGTCACCACGATGACTGTAATAACAAATAATAGCACCGGAAATGACACGACGGAGGCAAAGCAGTGAGGCCATACTGAAAAAAGGGTGCGAATATATGAGATATTTCCCCACTAGTACATGCACCTGAGGAACATGGAATGTTGTAAAGCGTTGTGCACCTTCAATGATGGGACGGACATTGTGACACTTTACTAACTTACATGTAAGAACATTTTTATTCTAATTGCTGGTTCTTTCATTTAAGCCTCTACACCAGGATACCAAAATCACACCTATGCTGATACACTTGAGCTAATCAATACAGGCTTTAAGAAAATTAGAGAAATATACCATCTAAAGGGTTTTTATATTTATATTTATATTTTGTGTATATACAATATGTTTCCCTATTTTTTTTACAGTCACATTTATGAAAAATTCATATGGTACATATAGTTTTATATTTTATGTGTCACATATTCACTGTTTTTTTACACAAAGTGTGCTGTTCAACTTCCTCATACCTCCACAATATTTTGACATCAATACGAATGTTTGTGAGTTTGTTCAGGACGTTTGCCTGAGATAACATGTACTAGGAGTTATGGGTATTTTAAGTTAATTTGCATTACATTTCTTGGTTGGGTCCTTGCAAAAGACTCTTTAGAGGTCAGATGCAAATAACATTTATCAGAATATGTATAAAAAACATAAAAACATACACATGAATGTATTTATTAAGATGTATAAATATTTTTAGACATACAGTTACAGTGGCGAGTATAGATATACACTTAGATGTAAAGATGAAAGCAAATGTTTGTCTATCTACATGTGGCTGTGTAGTGACCATTTAGTTTGCTGGCTTCAAAAATGCTCAAATATCTCAAATGTGACAGATCTGCTTTAAGCACTTCTTCTGCCTTTGCATGTTTGTCATATAGGGAACACAAAGCTAGTACACAGCCATTTGAGAATTGCCCTTTTTCTGCTGCTATTTAAGAGGAATTGATTCAAAGATATATATATAGTTTAAAATCAAACGTCTTCCCTTTATCCCTTTGTGGGAAACCCTAGCTACTTTAATGTTGCATTAGAGCTTTACAACACAATTCTAACATAGCCCAAAGGCATACTTACCTAGGTACTAGGACAGAATGTTAAATGTCCTGAATATTTTAAAAGCATTAACTATAAAAAAAGTCAATCCTGTGGCATGTTCACCAAACATAACAGCACATGTATTTTATTGGGATATGATTTATATCATAATTTTTTTCAATAATTGAGTAAGCTGAAGAAGAGATGGTAGATAGAACAATGAAATATGCCATTCATTTCACCATGAAACACATTCACATCTTCTGCCCGGGGCAATGAGAGTGAAACAACAATTCTAAAGCCTTGTGCACATATCGCTATTCTTTTCTCTTTCTATTTTATTACTTCCTTTAGAAAATCTCTAAAAATCGTTGAGCATTTAGCAAAAGGAGGTCATTCAAAAAATAAATGAAGGAAAGAAAAAAAGAAGTACAGATATGTTGTTGAAATGATTCTCATTAAGAACTATGAGATATTTTATTTAAACAAGATACAATGATTTTTTTAAATTGTCCAAAATAGTTAAAAAAAACTCAACATTCAACATTCAAACTGAGCAGGTGTTAGTATAAAATACAACCCTTATATGTAAAATATTTTTTGAGAATTATTTAAAGAGTAAGTTGTGGTTAAGATGAATTGACTGCAAACTTGCTACTAGGCCAAACTAGCTCATCTGGATAAAAATAATAATAATAATGACAATAATTTTGACCAGCAGGAGAATATTTCGCTCTCTAATTGCTACTCTTTAACCCCTTAGTGACCAGACTATTTTTCAATTTCCTTACCGTTAAGGACTAGGGCTCTTTTTACATTTCTGCGGTGTTTGTGTTTAGCTGTAATTTTCCTCTTACTAATTTACTGTACTCACACATATTATATACCGTTTTTCTCGCCATTAAATGGTCTTTCTAAAGATACCATTATTTTCATCATATCCTATAATTTACTATATAAAAATGATTAAATTCTAACTTTGACCCCCAAAATTTGTTACAAATCTACAACCGCCAAAAAACACCAATGCTAAATAGTTTCTAAATTTTGTCCTGAGTTTAGAAATGCCCAATGCTAACATCTTTTTCTTTTTGGAAAGTAATAGGGCTATAAGTACAAGTAGCACTTTGCTATTTCCAAACCATTACATTATAGTGTTACATTGTAACACTGATATCTGTCAGGAATCCCTGAATAACCCTTCACATGTATATATTTTTTAAAAGAAGACAACCTAAGATATTAAACTTGGGGTATTTTGACTCTTTTCATGCAACCATTTTACCACCAATCTATTCCAAATTTAAAAAAATAATAATAATTGGTAATTT